CACACAGACTCCTGCTGTGGAGGAGGCTTATACTTGAACCGGGTTGAGCGATGATTGGCTAGCTGCCACAGCGATAGTCGGGTGGAGGAATCGCGCAAAAAACCTCACACAGAGTCTGCGGTGCAGGTGATCTCATCATCGCATGTCTCACAACACTGGCACAATACACAGTCAATCTCAGGCACGACTGGACGCAGTCAACATCAGCCCTGGCTTCGCCAGTGGCCCCTGCTGTCTGAGACAGCAACACAATAAAGCTCCCCTTCTGGTGACTCTTGCCTTTTACCTAAAACCTGAGGTCAGACCTGACCATTGTTGTAATCTAAGTACAACCACTAGTTAGACCCCACATCCTCTATCTCTCGTCGCCCCCCTCCACCTGATCGATCAATATTCCGTGCCGTTTGGCACCGATCGGGCTTGAGACTGTCTGATGTAGTCTAAACTCATTCGCCTGTATCAATCAACGCTCTTCTTCTTCTAAGCAGGCACACCCATGTGTCCGACCAGCATCCAGCCAGTTCAGTTGCCCTTGGCCGTTTCCTTTTTAGATCTTTAGTTCAATGACTATGCAGTGGCCATGCGCACGTTAACATGCTCTCAAAATTTTTTTATTGCATCAGTAAATTCTAAATAATTCACAAGCTTTGCCATCGCAAAATTTACTTGGGAAACCGATGTTCTGATTTTCCAAAGGGACGATGGGATTTTGCCGAAACTTCCAAAGTTCGCGGGTGGTCAAAGGCCTTGTTGGGCATCCAGTACATTTTTTTATCAGACGGATTCTTCCAGTACCGTTCTATAAAAGTCCATCATTTGCCTCCATTTCTGTGAAACCATCTTCTGACTTGTCAGTCACCGCACATTCGTGGCAATGCACCAGTGGAGCCTACTATCACTTTTAAAGTAACAATGACTACCTTAAAGTTAAATATTTTCACGATTTATTTGAAACAAAAGACTATGTGCACCTGGTCCACGTCATTGGAAAATAAATTCGAAATAATTGAGGACCATTATGGTATCGATCGTCTGCTCAGACATTTGAGTAATTTCGTTTCGATTTGATCAGGCCAAACATGCGTCTTAACTTGCTTTGCAGTATTAATATGAAGACATGATTGTTGAAAGCCCTATTTACGTCGGCTTTGATGTTCATATTTAAAAGCACTGTGGGCTTATGGTTCCTAATGCTTCATCGACTGAATACCCCTTAAAGTGTGCGCCTGTACTTACAGGAAATCACCTATCGCATTAAATGTCAACTGAACGTCTCAACTGCGTTTTTGCTGCAAAAAAATCACTTATGCAGGATTGCAATATTGATTATCATACCATCTAACCTTAAGATCTTTCAACCAAGCCAAGATGTTAACTTTTGGATGATTTCCCTTCTGACACCCTGCACGAAGACGTGCAGTGTAAAAAATGACTACTGAAGTATTCCGTATTTTTCTCTTCCTTTTCTTTTCGATTCCCTTTTAAATTTAAATATATTTTATAGAAAACATTCACAGAAAGCTTCTTTCTTGTACTGGTTTGGCAGCAGATGACGCCTTCATCATACATTGTATTTGAGGAGGGCTATCTTTTGGTTAAAAAAACTATAAATTGCCCAATAATTCTGCACACTCCCAGTTGTTACAGTTTAGTTCGAGGGTTCAAAATAACATGCTGTAGAAATTTTTCAAAGGAAAATCCCACATTACTCTGGGCTATGAGGAAGAGGTCAGGTGCTTCTCATAGAATTTTGCAATTGATGTAGATTGCGTTGTATACATAAAAGGAAACATTAATAAACGGACGGATACGATGCACTATGAGTAATATTTAACAGTCTTAAAAATAGCATAATTAGAAAAGTTTTTTTAAAACCGTAAGGCACCGTTTCCTCAAGTGTACAATTTAAAGAAGACATAATTTACTACCAAAGGTGTATAAATAGAAAAGTTTCCTAATGAATTTTTTGATAGATTATGTTTAAATGCACCAACGCATCGAAGATCAGTGAGAAAAGTGCACAGTATATATATAGTCATTTTTTGTGTAAAATGTTTTCTGTAGGCTTTAAAAAGGATGCTCGTTTGAAAGTCAACATCCCGGTGGGAAATAAATATCTGGAGAGTATGCCGCACATCAATCGAGTTCACAACCCTACTTAAGTAAGCTGTTTTTATTGAAAATACATTTGGGAATTTCGATTGACATTTCATGAGATAGGGAATCTACTACATATATCCTCCAGTTTTCACAATCTTTTTGCTACTGTCACGAGTGATTGCTGTCTTCTGTATCCTCTGGGATATTTTGCGAGACCAAAAACTATGAACGCGTTAAGTATTTGGGAGCTCTAAGCACTGGCAGCACCTTAGGTCACGGTCCAAAACAATTTTAAATTGACGAGCTTGTCAAAAATACCAATCGCGTCGTTTCCAAACAGCAAAACTGTACCTTGAAATTATTTTACTGGAGGTCGTTGACGTGCCTAACTGAACAACCCTTTAAATACTGTGAACCTCATTATGTATAGCATCTCCGACGATGGAAGCTTGTTTGGTTCCGAAACGTCAGGAAGATAAACCATAGTTTATATGATCGCCTTACCTTCTCCATATACAAATGTTGCTAAGAGAAGCGAAGATGCGTGTCGCCGGGCATAAATGAGAAGAAAGGGCGATATCGGGACCATATTTTTCAGGACAATAAAAGTATGACTCTCGAGATCGCCATTTCTTCTCAAACATAGGGCAAATTCCAACATCAATTTATACTACTTTCCGCCCGTTGGCAGCATTTGTATATTACGCAATAATTCCGCAATGACTAATAGTATTCGGCTCAAATATATACATCAAGTCTTGGTCTATACCTATAGCCCTTAAATACTGATCTGTACAGAGCACAGAACTTAATTTCTAAGAAAATGAAAAACTGAAATTTTTCAACGGGTATATCAACCGGAAAACAAACAGGGGATGCTAGGGAACCCACTGATGCGTCGGACCTCTTGCAGCTATGTCAAGCAGTGGCAGAATACCGACAAAACACGTGTCTGGACTTTTAGCTAGTACTTGTACTGTTAGCATTGTCACTTACAGCATGGTTTGTATAAAAAAAACTACCTATTTTTTAAGCATGTTAGATACTCTACTTGTTCTTTGCACATTTATTCAAGTTTAAAGGCAATATGAGGGAACCAGTGTCGATAATTTACCAAATAAATTTACTTTGTTTTCCTATGGAAGGCATTTTCCATTTACAGGTGCTATTTGGAGAGAGGCATACATCGTTCCATCTTAAAATTTGAGTTTGAGAATATGTGAAGATTTTGAGGACCTTTGTTGCGTGTGCGTACCCACGATCAGCTTCCACCAGAACCTTCTTGTCTCATTAAACGTATGGCTAAACGGAGACGGATTATAATGAAACCCAAGACGGCTATTGAAAAGAACAAACACATTGCCTCAAACGGCAGGAAGAAGGCGGAAGGCTGAACCAAAAGACAACACATTGTATTCTTGACCGAGGAGACCAAACAGAGAAGATCAAGAGAAATAATTATAATAATAAAAAGAAGCACAGAACTGCACTTACTATTCAGTAGTTTTTAATAAAAAAGACGTTTTCGTACTGGTAGAGAAGCGCGAAGAATGAGCCCGCCCCGCCTAGGACACCGTAAACGAGGGGCGATTGCGTTTCTTGGCTGGCACCAACAACACAGGCACCGCCGAATGGTGCAAGACGTGGTCACTCGTGCTGCCCAAAAATGTTCGTCGAACCTTGTTAATACCCCGAGAGCCCATTATAATAAGGTTCGCTTTGTACTGCTGTGCCACCTTTATCACCGCGTCGCCGGGCTTATCATCCACGTGGACGGTGACCTTATGCTTGAGGTCGACTTCCTTGCACATTTGTGAGAACTTCTCAAGAAGTTTACGGCCAAGTTTGATGTCGGTTTGAAGGTGTTCGTTCAGGCTTTCGCAGAGTACGGCCCTGCTTTCTTCGTCTAGGCCAGCCTTGGATGTTGTGACTAGTGTACCCTCCACTACATGCAAGAGGATCAAGAAGTCTCGAGGCTGTTTTGAACGCTTAAGGTACCACTTGAAGGCCCACTCCGAATTTTCACCGCCATCAAGTGGAATCAACACAACCCGCTTTGCTGCCATTTTTCGTTTTTCGCACACACACAGACTCCTGCTGTGGAGGAGGCTTATACTTGAACCGGGTTGAGCGAT